CATATTAAAACATCATGCTGGGCAGGGCTTTTTGGCCCAAACCTGTAATCCCAGCACCTGGAGGCTTAGAGGCCAAGGTGAGTGGATTGCCTGAGCCCACAGGTTTGAGATCAGCCCGGGAAACTTGGCAAGACCTTTTCTCTACAATTAAAAAAAAAAAATAGCCAGGCGTGGTAGCGCATGCCTGTAGTTCTGGCTACTTGGACGGCTGAGGTGGGAGGATCGCCAAAGCCCAGCAAGTTGACACTGGGGTGGCCATGAGCATGGCAAAACTGTACTACAGCTTGAGTGACAGAGTGAGACTCCCAACTCAAAAACAACAACAACAACAACAAAAACCATCGTGCTTGATACCTAAAATATGTAATTTCAAGTTAAAAATTTTTTTAAATAAATTTAACAAAATAACACGATGACCAAAACTACAAAAATTTGCTGAAGGAAACTGAAGCCCTAAGTTAATGGGAGATATAATGTGTTCATGCATTGGAAGTCCCAATATTATCAGTATGTCATTTTCCCCTAAACATATCTATAAATACAACATGATTGCAAACAAAATCACAGTAGACTTTTTTTTTTTTTTTTTTGAGTTGGAGTCTCACTCGGTCACCCAGACTGGAGTGCAGTGGCCGCTCCCGGCCACTGCAGCCTCGATCTCCTGGGCTCCGGCGATGCTTCCGCCTCAGCCTTCTGAGTAGCCGAAATTACAGGCATGCGCTACCACGCCCAGCTGATTTTTTTGATTTATTGTAGAGATGAGGTCTCACTGCCCAGGTGGGTCGCGAACCCGCGGGTGCAGGCAATCCACTCACCTCAGCCTCCCAAAGGCGCAGGATTACAGGCTGAGCCACCAAGCCCGGCTCAGACTTTTTTTTTTAATTGTAAAGTTTGTTCTAGGATTAATTTGCAAATGGGCAAAAGCCCCATAAACGACACTTCACTTAAAAGAGCTATAATTAGTTAATAAGCACGTGAAAAGACACTAAAATATTTTCCAAGTCTTATCTAAAATTAGGCTTCAGAGGTCGGGTACAGTGGCTCATGCCTATAATCTCAGCTCCTTGGGAGGATTGCCTGAGCCCAGGGGTTAGAGAATAGACTGGGCAACTTGGCAAGACCTTGTCTCTACAATGAATCAAAAAAGTAGGCAGGTACGGTGGCGAGAACCTGCAGTTCCAGCTACTTGGAAGGCTGAGGCGGAAGGATCGCCCGGGCCCAGCAGGTCAAGGCTGTGGTAGCCGTGAGCATACCACTGTATTCTAGCCTGAGCAACAGAATGAGACTTCAATGAAAAAATAAAAAAATAAAATAATAAGATAAATAGAATAAAATAAGGCACCAGGGAAGTAAAATTTAAGTTAAAAACAGTAACCTACCATGCCGCATCCACTAGAATGTCTAAAATTAAAAAGATTGATCAACATCTTTAAAATTAAAAAATAAAAAGAAGCCGGGCTCGGTGGCTCAGCCTGTAATCCCGCGCCTTTGGGAGGCTGAGTGAGTGGATTGCCTGATCCCGCGGGTTCGAGACTCGCCTGGGCAACTTGGTGAGACCTCA